GTTAGGAAGGGATTTTTGGGGGTATTGATATTCTCTAAAAATGTTTATTACCTTTATATTAAACTATTTAATAAAAAATCTATATAGCCATTTTTGTTTTTTTAATTTTATAAATAAATTCATATTTTATAAATCTGTGTTATCATGAATCAGTTTTTGGTGTAGCAGCTGAATGGCATTTCATTTTTCAGCTACATCCCATGGGAAAGGTCCATGTGATGGCCTTGGCGGAACATTAAAAAGATTAGCAACATGCTCAAGCCTTCATCGTATTAGTTCTGGACACATTTTAACATAAGTTAATTGATATCAGTTTGCAAAACAAATGCCGTCAGTAAATTTTACATATATATAACCAACGAACAATACAATTTAGAAGAGATTAAACCACAAGAAAGATTCAATTTAGCTAGCTCCATTCCTGGAACTCGGGAAATACATACTGAATTTCCTTTGAGTTTAAGTAAACTTAAATTAAAAATATATTCATATATAGAGGACTTTCAAATTAACAATATCTCAAATGCAGATAATTTATCTTTTGCCGATATAAAGGATTCGTAACATGTGTTTATGACGAATATGAAATCACTGAGGATATATATATTTCATTTTTACATCCCCATAGACCATCACTCTTCTTTTACCCCACAATTGAGGACATTTATCAAAAAATAACAATAGTAGATCCATAACAGTGACTGGACGTACCTACAAATTATCACCTCATGAAATTCTATTAATAAGCGCAAAATGGGATAAGATTAAAACAAGCGGTATTTTTGTTATAATTGTTTGTATATAAAAATTTAAAATATAGCGTCCTAATAATAATTATATCTATATGGCTGCCTGCTTACTTTTCGCCCCAGAATATCATATTGGTTATACTCAATTGATTTTTCAATTTTAATCTCAATACAATTCATATTTTCATTAAAAATATAATAATATAATGATTTTTAAACATAACGCCATCTATATTATATTTTTTATTATAAATAAATAATAAAAAATTCAAATTAAAAAAACAAAAATGGCTATCGAGATTTTTTATTAAATAGTTTAATTATAAAGGTCATAAACATTTTAAGAGAATATCAACATCCAAAAAAATCCCTTCCTAATAATGTTAATTTTTTATTTTTACCAGAAATAAGAAAACACTTGGAAATTTTTAATTTTTTTTGATTTCCAATGTAAAATTTTAAGGGCTATAAAATGATATATAATTTCTAAATCTCTAAATTATTTAAAAAACAAGATTAATGAAATCACGCATTGCGCGATTTTCGACTTTGAAGGCGTATATATTTGGATCTGGTTGAGCTAGCACTCTAAAATTTTGAGTTTACTAAATTATACAAAATAGATAACTATCATGCCAAGATTCGTTTCTTTAAAGATGGTGGTCCGAAAATCTCGTTTTTTGGTCGATTAAAAAGGGATACCAAAGTCCTCTTATGTGAGGCGGCTGAATATAAAAAAATGATAACAAAGTCCTCTTAAGTGAGGCGGCTGAATATAAAAAGAGATTATCAAAGTCATCTAATCTGTAAACGACCTTCGCGCTAAGATTTTTACAGTAAAACCTGTGGCACGGAGTGCTGTCCGATTTTTGTGACCTTTTACAGTAAAAGGTAGCACAAGTGCTGAAAAATTTTTTTAAGATACATTTTACTCTTCATACAATTAGAAAATGATTTCATTCTTTCAAAAACGAATAGAGTATACTGATTACAATTCGGCTCAGAGCGAATTATTTTCTGCCATAAAATTGAGCTATATTTTCGAAAAATAATCCAAGTAGATATTAGTTAGCTTTAAACTAGATTTCGTCCTTTTCAGCCTGCTGTAAAGAGGACAATTATCCAACTATAATAGTGACTGGTGATCGAAACTCAAAAATGGTATACGTTTTGGCAAAATCCTTTGATTTTTTTAAAATACCTTTTTCAAGTTTCACATATTAAATAGCACACCAATTCTTAGTCCATATTTGATATATACCAATCCCACAGCTCAGAAAATAAATAAATAACCTTGGATGGAAAGAAATTTAGCAGTCTTGAATTCGAACGTATGACTACTAGATTTGCCATATTCTAAAAGTCAGTTTGTGGATTTTCAAAGATTAATATTGTTAAAAATCGGGACTACACAAGACAAACGTTATCACATTTTATATAACGAGTTTGTCTAAGCTTTGCTACTATGGTCCATAGACCAAATCGTTAGACTGAATGACATTATATTTGAAAAATTAATAATAAAAAATTATTCATTTATGATATTGATTTATGGATATTTACTAATTAATTTTTTGTTCTGATATTGTTTTCATTATTATAATATACAATTTTAAAAAAAATTTTTATATCGCATTATCTTATATAACAAATTTGTTATTTTCTTTAATTTATTTTCATATATTTTATAAAATTATATTATAGTTAAAAAAAATAAAGCTTGATACATTTCCATTTTGACTATTTAAAGTTTTTTAAAAAAAGTTTCTTGTTTTTTATTGAAATTTTTCCAAAGTATTTAGCATCTTAAATACAAAATTTTATAAAGTATATCCGAATACAATTTTTAGAAAATTTGCCCAACCCTGACTTACAGTGAAATAGAGTTTAGAGCATACATTTATATTGTGGATAATCTTATTCATATTGCTCAAGACATCTTGCCTTAATTATGCTTGGATCTTCAGAATTAACTATTACTTTAAAATATTTAAAATTGAATTTTGAACAAAATGCTGAAGGTATTTCTGATTCAGTCTTCCATTATACAATCAAATGCTTCATATTTTGCCTTAATAAATAAAAAAATATACTCTATGTCTAAATCTATTTTTTGTTATTTCATGAAAATATTATCAAATGCATGCATTGAATACAAGTTAATTTGAAATATTATAACTCCCGCGAAGGTTTAAAAAAATTGAACTCAATTACAAAATTACTTGATTTTTTTTAGTAATTACTAAATACATTTTTAAGAAATAGGACGAACTAGCAATATAAAAATTAGTTTGTAGTATAATTACAAATGTAGTTAACATTTCCCAACGTTTGTAGAATGTTTTAATTACTTAAAAATTAACCTAGCTTGTCAGGGTGGGACTGGTAATAAGACCAGGTGGGCATTTTGCCACGAAGTTGCGAGAAAATGTAGATTTTTGAGGCCGATCAGAGAAAAATATAAAAAAGAGGCCGATTAAAATTATTATTATGTTTACATTATTTTCTCTTATCATTTATTTATTTTTAATGATATCTCTATTATTTGAATATCACCCTTGAGAATTATATCGTTTACTATATTTTAATGCATAAAATATCAATAAGTCGCTTGACGCTATACATCATTACCACGCTTTTCTTTGTTTTTTTCAAATGAAGTGAAAACGCTTCTGTTTGAGTAGAGTGAAAGCTAAGTTTTGATTAATTTATTATATTTTTATACGTAGATTTATTGTAGAAATAATATAGCCACATTTGTGGTTAAGAGAACTTTAGTATCCCTTTTTTATATTCAGCGCCTCACTTTAGAGAACTTTGGTATCCTTTTTTTATATTCAGCTGCCTATGGTATCCTTTTCTTATATTCAGCCATTATAATTATAATTACTCTTTTTTTATGTCTTTTATATCTTGCACATTTTGAAATATAAATATAGATTTATTAATAATCTTTTCTAATCATAAAAATAACATATACTAATTTTGATAATGATGCCAAAACAACAAAAAAAATTACACAAAAAAATACAATGAATGCGCAAAAGCTTTCCCCAAAAAATACATATATATATGACAATATTATTCTTATTCAATTGGTATAATTTAGAGATGTCAAATCATCATTGATAGGCCATTATGTAATATATTAGACTTACTGGTGAATTCTTAATATATAATAGAAGTGATAATCCATAATGTAGTGTTTTTAATTTAACCCCTCCTCAATATTATAAATGTTTATTTTGGCGTTCAACTGCATATATCTCGGGTTAGCCTTCCATTTTAAAAAAACCGGATTGGACCAGGCTAGGATTTCAAAAAACCGGACTGGGCAACCCTAATAAAAAAAATTGAAACCGGTCCTGGTATAAATTTGAATTTTGCCATTTGCAAGACCTAATGATGAATAGTATTTATTCAATAAAGAATTGAATCGATTAGTTTTTGAATAGACCTATTAACCAACCATAATCGGCACTCTCAATTAATCAATTACATACTACTTTAATTTTCGTGTTTTGTATGGTGGCCAGAAATTGGTGGAAACGATATTCAAAAAGATCTAAAGTAGTGTTGTTAAAAAGTCAGATTTGGGTCGATTTCTAAAACCGACCCGATTAAGATTTTAGTCAAAATAATAATTTTTTCGAAATTTGATAAATATATGTCAAAACCTGCAATCTATGAGCAAAATATACAGGCTTGCATTTATTTTGGGTAAAATTTTAATTGGGCCGTTTTTAAATATCGACCAAAATCGAGCTTTTCAAAACAGTGGTTTACAGAAATGTATTCTAAAAAAATAGATTTATTAGGCAAACGCTTCTATGTTTACATTATACAAATATTTTTATTGAAGATTTATAAATAAATAGAAATATGACACTTGACTAATATATTATATTTTTACTTTTAAATAATGCAAAATAAATAATAAACATTTATATTCTTATTAACAATTTGATTTTAAAGCAGTTTATAATAAAGTATGATAAACATAGTATATCTATTGTAAAATGATAAGATATCTATCAATGGTCGAAATATTTACATTTTGATAATATTATAATTAATCTTCAAAATTATTAACAGAAAAAAGTATAAAGCGAAGGTTACGATAATTAACTTATCTGGGAATGATAGGATGATATGACAATAAATCTATCAATATAAAATATTAACAAAAAATATTTTGCATTTTTTCTATAGTAATTAACAAATAACAAATCAGATATAATTATAATATACTTTGTATTAGTCTGATCTCTATAACAATTGTGAGTTGGACATCGTTAGAATTTGATTGATTTAGGTGTAGTATAATCGAACCTTAGATGTGCTTATTAAATCATCTCCATCATAAAAATTTGTTTCTATTACCACGTTCCCACTAAATTGCAATATATTTTTGGTTAATATAAAATGATCAGATATTATTACTTTAAAATACGAAAAACCTTATGAAAAAATATATCTTTACAGTCTCCTAGATTTTTAAAAAAGGTTTACATATTAGATTAATAATATTGCTTTTGGGTACCAAACTTTATTTAACTTTTTAAATGATATATTAACACTGCCCCATACTTTTCTAACATTATTTTTTTCATATCTCTAATCCTTAGCCACCTGCTCGAGTAGGACTGTTTTTAGAAAAAAAGAGTCCTTATGTGTCATTAAAATATGTTATACAAAAAGAGGGTTGGCTATTTTTTAAATTATTATATTAATTGGATTATTAACTTTCATATACTGACCAAATTTATAATTTGCCTTTAAAACAAAGATACAGCAGAAACTATTTTAAAATTAAAATTATTACGCTATCCGATATTATAAAAAATATATATATAAACAAATTTAATATTTCTTACTAGAATATAAGTTTACTCAAAGAAGGAAATAAGGTTGGAGGACATATATTTATCGAAATATTTCTGCCAAATTATCAAACGGAATGCCAATATCTTCCTTTGGGACGCAGGCAAGGAGTGATAATGTAGTATAAAGATCTGCAAAGTCTGGCCCGCGGGTCGGGTAGGAATTTATTTTTTAAAAATATAAAAGTCCGGGCTGGGTGAAAAATTTAACAGACCGGGCCAGGCAATTCGTGCACAAAATATTTTCGGGTCAAGTCGGACAACTTGAGCCCAAATAATTTTCTGGCCTAACAGGAGAATATATAAATAAAAATTAGGCAGGGCCTCTCAAATGTTTAATTTTTCGTAAATTTTAATAAAATTTTGAGGGTTTGACTAAACTGCAAATGCTAAGGTAAACTGCAAATGCTTAGGTAAAAATTTTTGTTATATATTCTATTAATTGGAGTAAGATTCATTTTCTTATATGTATAACTTATAAAAATAATATTATTAGATATAATCAATAAAAAATGAATAGATATTAATAGTTGTATTTCCTTTAATCTCATAATAAATAGTTTAAATCCTTTAATATAAATAAATTAAAAATAATTATAATTACATTTTAAATTTCATTAATATTAAATCCACAAGTTGGCGTATTATTATTTTATTTTTTTTGTTTTAGTATATTTTAAAATCATATTATATTATTATTTAAAAAGGTGTTTGACGTGTTTCGCATGTTTGACTAAACTGCAAATGACAAGGTAAATTGCAAATTCTAAGGTAAATTGCAAATGCTAAGGTAAAATTATTTGACATATTCTCTAATAATTGGAGTGAGTTCATTTTCTTATGATATGAATAGCTTATAAAAGTTATATTATTAGATATAATCAATAATAAATGAATAGATATTAATAGTTGTATTTTTTTTATCTCATAATATATAGTTTAAATCTATTAATATAATTATCTTAAAAAAAGTATTACAAAAACATTTTAAATTACAATAATATAAAATCCGCCAGTTGGTGTATTATTATTTAATTTATTTCATGATATAATAATACGCCAGCTTGCGGATTTAATATTAATGAAATTTAAAATGTAATTATAATTATTTTTAATTTAATTATATAAAGGATTTAAACTCTTTATTATGAGATAAAAGGAAATACAACTATTAACGTCTATTCATTTATTATTGAATATATCTAAGAATATAATTTTTTATAAGTTATTTATAGAATAAGAAAATGAACCTCGCTCCAATTAAGGCTGTGTCCTAAATTAAAAAAAATTTATCAAGTTCTGATAGATACAATCATACATTTATTTTCAAATTATAGTATATATGAAATGTTTGATGTGAATGATTTACTAATTCTATATTTTATATTATTTGAAGATAATCATGTTCATGAGTTCCAAATTTAAACACTTATATAAATCCTTAGAAACTAATATTACTAATACTATATAAATTGTTAAGGCTGACTGCTTATTACAAAATATTATTATTGATATTGAGGTCAATTCATTGTACACAAATTAATTAGAAACCCTTATTCCAAAATTTTTATATACATTTATTTTTTAATTACCATTACCTTATATTTCTTATGAATGTTTAAATTTGTCAAAGTTATAGCATTTATTTATAAATATTCAATAAAAAGTGCAAAAAAAAGTGTTTTGATTTGTATTTAAACTGCTAAAATGACTCAAATCACATTTTATAAAAATTCATTAAACATAATAATTTTTATTATAAAGATATACAAAATCATAAATATTAAGATAATATAAAAAATAATAAATATGAAAATTATAAATATAAAGGGAAAATTTCATTTTAAATTCAAAAATTTGTTTCTGATTGACTATATCATTTAACATATCTTGTGTGTTGGCTCTAAATCCTAAGATATAGATCATTATATAGTTTTAATTTAATGTTATAATACTTGTGATGATATTTGTACATTTAACATATCTTGGATGTTTGGCTCATAATCCTAAGATATAGATTATTATATAGTTCTAATTTAATGTTATATACTTGTGATGATATTTGTACATTTAACATATCTTGGATGTTTGGCTCTAAATCCTAAGATATAGATTATTATATAGTTCTAATTTTGTTATATACTTGTGATGATATTTGTACATTTAACATATCTTGGATGTTTGGCTCTAAATCCTAAGATATAGATTATTATATAGTTCTAATTTAATGTTATATACTTGTGATGATATTTGTACATTTAACATATTTTGGATGTTTGGCTCATAATCCTAAAATAAGATAATTATATAGTTCTAATTTCATGTTATTTATAATACATGTGGAGATATCTGTACATTAATAGCATCCTTAGATTATTTTAAACTGAAACTTGCTTCAGTGTGCTTACATATATCCTCCACATTTTCTTTTAGCCAGTAAAAATCTTCAACAAATTTAAGGTGCTTGCTGTTCATCATAGCAGCACCTGAACTTAAAATATAAATTAATATTTATATAATCTCTTCCCATTTGATTTTACTTGCAGCTGTATCTCTCACAAATGTCTATAAGGTCTTATATTTTCCATTAATTGAAATTCGTTCGCCATTTTATTCCCTCAATTCGCAAAAGTTTAAGGAAAAAATGATTAAAGTTTTACGAATCGTGAAGCTTTTAAGAATCACGTAATTTGCGCAAAATCGAAAAAATCATTTAGGCCAACGTTTTAATTTTCCATTAAAAATATCTTATATTATTTTTTTCGTTAAACTCGCGCAAATTGCGCGAGATAATTTTTATGCAATTTTTGAGAGAAAACAAAAATTTTTACCTAAGCATTTGCATTTACCTTGGCATTTGCAGTTTACCTTAGCATTTGTAGTTTAGTCAAACAAAAATTTTGATATATTTTTTTTTAATTTCAAGCTGATATTTTTAATTTTGGTTATGGTAATACTATTTGGAAATAAATAACAATTTTGTATTTTAAAAGTTGTAAACTAAAATAATAAATCTATAAATAATATATTAAATTTACAAAAAAATAAAACCCTATATTTATGATAAAATCCATATACAAATAGATAATAGATATAAAATATAAATATTGATTTATATAACCATTGTTGTAGAAATAGATAGCCATAGAGGAGAGATATAGGGGAGACCGGGGTGCATTGAGTACAGGGGAACGTTAGGTCACTCTAATTATAATTTGAGCTATTATTTTATAAGACTCGAAATTTGAGCCTAACATAGATAATTAAGTCATACATGATTGGCTAAAAAAAGATTTGAAAAATATTTTGTATTTTAATTTTTACAGAAGAAAATGTATTTTGGCATACCAAAAGTAATAAAAAATATTTGCAAGCTTTCTCGTTTATATTTATAAATAAAGCTTTAAAAATCATAATAAATAGATTTTAGGAAAGTTTAAACCCTATTTTCCAATCTGGTAAACTTTAAGAATCAATAAACATAAATTAATATGATTTTGGATGATATTTATAAAGTTAGTGGGCTCGGTCATAGTTGGTCATAGTGTAGTTGGGACACGCCATTTTAGCTCATTTTATCATTTGCTAGTGATTCGGAATTACAATAAAAAGGATAGGAAAATCTTCTGTACAGAGAATTATGAAAATGCTTTATTTTATATCCAACAACCTCAGTCAGAAAGTTATCATTACTTACAGGTAAGATTATTTATATTATTATATATATTTTTTAGGCATTCCAAAATCTAATATAGCAAGATATTTATCAAAAAAAAAGGAAAAATGAAAATAATTCAATACCCACAATGGGATATTCAAATCACAAATGTGTTTTTAATAAAGTGAGGAAGAAAATATAGCTAATTACATATTAAAATCCTCTAAAAAAATTTATGGACTTACCAAAAAAAGGTAAATAAGAGCATCTAATTACTAGATTTTAATTTAATATTTCATATGCAATGATTCAAGTAAAATTATATTCTATTCCTTTAGAGGCTTAATGAAATTTATTTATTCTTATCCTGAGATTTCTCATCATTTAAAATAATATCATTATTCACAATGAGAATCTATAAACAAGTTAATAAATTTTATTAATTTAGTATTGTGAATAATTAATAATTTAGTATTGTGAATAATTAATAATTTAGTAGTGTGAATAAAGAATCATTTGGTATCGTGAATAATGAATTATTTAGTATTGTTAATAATTAATATCATTTAAAATTATTAATTTAGCATTGTGAATAATGAACTATTTAGTATTGTGAATAATGAATCATTAAGTGTTGTGAATAAAGAATCATTTAGCATTGTTAATAATGAATCATTTAAAATTATTAATATACCATTGTGAATAATGAATTATTTGGTATTGTGAATAATCAATCATTTAAAATATTCATTTCATACTTAAAATTTATTAACTTGTTTCTCATCATTTAAATGAATATCTTAATCACAATATTAAATTAATAATAAAATGTTCATTTCATACTAGAAAATTTTTTAACTTGTTTATAGATTCTTATTATGATAATTTTGTCAATTATGAAATGAACATTTTATTATTAATTTAAGAAATAGGATTATCATAATGATATCATTGTGATAATCCTATTTTTCACCATTTAAATTTTTTTTTATAAATCATTTTAATTTCTATATTATGTATTTTATTTAGGTTAAAGAATTGGCCTATCAAGTAGCAATAAAATATAAGAAAAAAAATTTCCTAAATTTTGCTAAAATTTTTTTATAGTTATTGATTATGAATTACAATATTATCAATAAAATCAAATGTGTCATAGTCTCTAGTCTTACTGGATTACTGATTTTAAAATTTATTTAGACCTCTATTTCATGAGTGTCCCAACTATCACATATGTGTGTCCTAACGTACACAGTGTCTGTCATAGTTAGGACAAAAAAGAATAATTTTTTTAATTCAATTTTCTAAAAAAATATAATCTTCATAAAATATATATTAATTACAGAGTTGTCACTTTTTAAAATTGGGGAGCGGGAGCTAGCTCCTTCAGGGCTGGAGTGGAGGAGCGCCGCTTCACCGCTCCTTTAAATTTAATGTATAAATTAAATTATTTTTTTAATATTAATAATATTTATTAATTAAAATTCAATAAAAATGAAATTATTTAATTTAAATTTATCCATTATTAAATGATTAGCCGAGTTTTATATTGGTTTTTCATCTAATCATTTAAATATTAAACATCAAGTTTTCCTTTTTATATTGAAAATCTTTTAAGTAATCTTGTAAGTCATATTAATATTCATTTTATAGATATATTATAAAAAATAGTTTTAGATATAATGGATTTAGCGATATAGATGAATAAATCGAATTTCCATTTCCATCATACAAAAAATATTTTAAACTTCTAAAAGATGTTGATCCAAATGATCAAACAAATTTAAGGGCAAAATATCTTTTGTATTTAAATAAAACTATTTAATTTTCAAAAGTGAGCAGCTTCAACTAAAAAAGCATCTAAAAGTAAAAAATCTTTCTTTTAAATACAAATTGATTTGGAAGATTTTTTTGGATTCCGTGAAATTGATCATCAGGAAGATAATATATTGGACAAATATTTTTTAAAATACCAAAATTACTATTTTTGATTAAATTAAAAAATATCTTTATAAAATACAATACCCCGCTTCCCTCTAGTGCTCCTGTAGAGTGCCTATTTAGTATTGCAAAACAGGTCTTAGGGGAGAGGCGTGGATGTTTGTTAGATTCTAATTTAGTTATAAATATTTTGATAGATCATTTAATATAAATAAAGTTTTTTGATATATGATTTTGTTTTGTATACCTTCTAAAAAAATAAAAATCAAAGGAACGGTTATGGAGTGGCACTCCATTACTTGGAGCGGGAGCTAGCTCCTTTTAAAAATGTAGTAGCGGGAGCTAGCTCCTTTTGAGGAGGTAGGAGCGGAAGGGGAGCTAGCTACTTTTAAAAAGGAGCGTTAACAACTCTGATTAATTATTTCAAATAGCCTATACTTTTGGGATTCAGAAGATGTTTTAATTATTCAGATTAGTTTATTAATATTAAAATTATTAAGGTTATTTAAAATTGGCAAAAAATTAGATATAGATAAATATGATGGGCGAAAATTTAGCATACAAATACTTAACTACCGAGGTGGACTTTACTTAAAATTTTAAGGGGCCGAGAACTTTTTAATTTTCTAAAAAATTATAAGTATCGAAATCAAGCCGACTTAGGACACAGCCTTAAAAATTTAATTAAACTTTTTCGCATATAAACTTATTAGAATATAAAAGAAACATATATTTTTTAAATTTTATCACTAAATCGCATAAATGAATTTGTTATATATGCCTGGTTTATAAACTATAGCAAATAAACAATATTTATTAACTATAATAATATAAGCATTCATTTAAAAATGGAGACTAATAATGATTGATCAAAATTAATTGATAATACTCTTCAAAACAGTTAGTATAAAAGACTGGCGGGCCCTTTTTAGAGGTTAGGGTCAGGTATGAATAACAAAATTTTAACGGTTAAGGTTAGATTGATGAATAATAACGGTTAATATAAATACTAGTTCCTGCTACCAACAACCAAGCGGAGTCTATCCAGGATGATATGCATTTAGTTACTAACTGCTGGTTAATAGCTAGCGTAAACATATTTTTGTTAGGTTTGGTAAAAGCTACCTGTCTGGCCCCATAATTGGCAGTAGAGATGCATATCAGTATAGAATAATACTTTTATTTTAAATACCACACCATATTAGAATTAATTTTTAAGAATGTCAAAATATTTGTCTTGTTAAAGGAGTATTTGTGGTCAAATAAGGTGGAATACTCTAAAAAATCTGAAGAAAAAAAATAAAAATATGTTTCCAGTCTAATAGTAAATTATGTGGAAAGCAGTACTTCCATAAGAAACAATCAGGTTCTTGCCTCAAGTTAGTGGAATGGGCTTTGTTCACCATACCCATTAATAGAAGTAGCATTTTACTAACATTTACTTCTTCAGAAAGATATTGGTCGATTTGGGATAATACTCTTACTAAAATAGAAATCGACAATAGGAAAATTGATCAAAAAATATTAAAGAAAATGATAATATTGAAGTTATTGAATGACAATAATATTAAAAAATATTATAAATTCATTTTGCCATTTTATACAAAATATAAGTTAATATTGTCTTAAAAAAATAATTATTTATTTGAAATTGACCGAATATTAACCCTGAATTTTTTTATTTTTTAATATAACATATCAGAAAATATTATTATTTTAATCTATCATCAAGGCTAACTTTCAAGAAATAGAATAGAATACAAACATCGATATGTTATGCAAAAAATTCCTTTCTGATAATTTTGAAAAATTAATTTTATTAAAAAATTAAAATTTTTAAAATAAATATAAATAACATTAATTATTTTTTTATTATTAAATTTTTTATTAATATTTTGTAATAGTGCGCACAAGTTGAGTGTTGCAACGCTCAGTTTAAGATAATAATGCATTTTAGATGGTAAGTGCAAATTGGATTTTTTCTTACGGCAAGCGTTAATAAAAATGCAAACTGATTTAATTTTTTCTATGCTTTTCAATTTTACGCTAAAATTTTATAATGGATATAAAATTGTAAGTAAAATTTATTTCATTAATTGATATTATATCATTTAGAATATATTAGTTGATATTTATATAATTTTGTAATATTTTAAATGATATTTTACATAATTTTAAAATAAATTATTTTATATTTATATAATTTTGATAAATTAATTGATATTATTATAATTTTAGAATATGGGATGATAAGGTTACTAAAAAAAATATTGAACCTTACTGGAAACTCAACAAATGGTCTAGAGTCAGCAGCATCCAGATCATAAGAATTCTATATTAGTATTAGATAGTTTATCAACCATTAGTTTAAGGTAAATATATATGAATAATGATAAGTTAAATTTTTAATAGCTTGGAGATGGAATTTCCACTGCTTGATACAACTGTATCATGCATAAAGAAGTTGAAAAACTTTAAAGACCAATTAAATAAGATAAAATTGGCCAAGACTTAAGGAGCTTCTGGCTCTAAACTCTCATACAGATGTTATGATTACATTAAATTCATTGAGCTAATAATAAATACACTACTGATGTTAAATGCATTGTTGGGTGAAAGAATATTGGCTTTTTTGGAAAGGGTGTGTTCTGAGAGCAGTAAAATATATATTTATCTATAAATATAACACTTTTATAGATTGTATCTCCATTCAATGGCAAAGGGTTTGAAAAGTATGAGCAATTCAAACAAATATTTTTTCAAAAATGAAATATTTTATTGTATCATACTTTAAGATCAATCAGAGGATCCAAATACCACAATTGAATTATCACTCCAAATTCAACAGATATACCTGCAAATCAAAGCTCATTAAATTTATTTAATTAAATTATAACTATGTGAAAATTAATTTGTTTTTTTTGTAAATCTATTTATTTATATATAATAAAGTTATATTATTCCATATTCTAGTTTCCATTTTTGAAAAATATAATTAAAATTATTTTATTAAATAAGACATTTAATAATCTCTTATATGTTCTGGTGTACATTTTTATTATTAAAGATTGAAAAATGTAGTTAAATTATTTTATTACAAATTAGATAATTTAAAATTATTAGATAAATAAGCAACTATTCAAAATTTATTCAGCATCATAAATTTGAAACTTGATTTGCATAATTTGTAAATCTATTTATTTTTATATAATACAGATATCTTATTCTATTCCTAGTGTCCTGAAAAATGTAAAATATATATAAATAAGCAAATTATATTATTTAGCATTTTTATTAAAATATATATATTAAGGTAGGATAAATAAATATATATATTAAGGTAGGATAAACAAATAAATATATATATATTAAGGTAGGATAAACAAATAAATATATATTTAAGATGTGTGTATATTTTTTTAAAAAAATATGTATAAAATCATTTATGAATTTAAAAAATTCTTGAATAAATTTATACAGTCATTTATGAATTTATAAAATCCTTGAATAAATTTTTTTAAATGAATATTTTAGAAGTTTTCCCTCTCTACTATAAAATTGTTTCTACGTCTTCTTAATAAATATAAGCTTATCTTCCAAACTTAAAAACTCCATTTGGTTTAATAAAATTATAAAAATTTAAATCACATTTCAATTAAGGAAAAAATGTACTGCTTTCAATTTAAATAAATATGCGTTATGTTAAAAAACGTACAGCAAACGCTCAATTTGTGTGCACTATAATAGAATAAAAAAAATTATTAAAAAAATAACAATAATAAATATGTTAAGTATATCATTTGATAAAACCTTTCATTTAAATATTTACCTGAAAAGAAAAATATTATAAAACAAGCAGGATTCAACTAGGCCTGAATTGTCATTTGATTCATAATTCTAAAAAGCAATAATTGTTTTGAAGACATATACTACAAACTTAATTTTTTTTTAGCATTAAATGCTACATTATTTTATTTAAAGTATTAGCAGTATGAGCAAAAAAAGTGGTATCAGTGCATCTCTGATTGGTAATATAAAATGTATCCATAAAATTTAACTTAATATCTTACTAAAATAATTTTTTCTTATGTTAACCATATTTATTAAACCCCAAAAACAATTTTAATAGACTTTTATTAAATTTAAAATATAGAGTATTAAGAATTAATAGTAAATATAAAATTAGCCATATATATATATACCATAAACGTTAAATTTGATCCCTTTTACAGGGAATATAAAAAGCTTAATAATAAATATAATTGGTGTATTCATAAAAAGAATCATTTAGAAAAGTGATTTTTGCTAGTTTTATATTATATAATTGGAGATAAAACCAACCCCACTATACTTCTCATTATTTTTATAACCCCAGACTTAAAACACTCTTGAGGGCCTAACTATATAGTTTATAATTAATATATACCTTAGTAAGAAATCCAAAATATAAAATTTAGTGATTAAAATAAAACACAAATGGCCACATATTTTATTCTTGTGTATTTTAAAATTTAAATAAAAGAGGGATGTTAAAAAACTAGTCATACAATAAAATATAAGGAAAATAACCACAAAAATGCATAAATTTAAAAACAATATTTAACAGATTCCAAAGTGTTGATAATTATTTGAATCAAGAAAAATAGTTTCAATGCAAAATTATTTCCCAGCTTATATGATTTCTACACAATTTTATATAAATAAATAATAACTTTAATAAATCTTCTTTTGCATTTTATGTTTTTACCATTTTTCTTTTTATTATGCATATTTATAATTGGGACAAATAAATTAATTAAATCCATTATTGCCTCTAATCTATAATATTTTCTTCTTAAATCATTCTATTTTCTGGTAATTTAGTGAGAGAAGGTATAATAGACACAATGATTTTTTTTATTCAAAAATATTTTTTTAAATTGAAGGTATAATATTGCTTGAAAAATTGAGCAAAAGCATTTAATGTTATGTTTTCTAGCAATTTTAAATAATAAAGTTTAAAAAAATTTTGAAACAAATAAAATGCTTATCAATATGAATGTTAGCATCTGTGATGCATTATTTTTAAAATATAGCAAAATAAATATGTTTTAATTTTTAAACTTTCTCTTGCTATTTATTCTAATATATTAAAATGGAAATGAAACCATCTAACTTTAATCAATTGTGCATCATATCTACATATCTTAATTGTTAATCAAATTATTAAAACTTACTTTAACAAATTGGCAGGTATCATTTGACTTTCAGGAGCTGCCTCAATTAATGATTGCCAGGTATTTGTACTCCCTGGTATTACAAAACCAAATTCAAAATACCAATCTTGCAAAGATAACAATATAAGCAATAAATTTTGCAACAATTACTTTCCAGACATATTCCATTAAATAATACTTTTTGTTCTAATCTAAATTTTTCCATAGATTCTGCAGAAAAAAAATTTAATTCTCTTGAAATGGCTTTACACCTTAAAATTTTTTTAGGGATTTTAGCCATATGTTCTACTCCAGGTTTTGATCTTATAATAATAGTTATAATATTTTTTTTAATGTTAATTTTACATATCATCATTTTCTTGCCACAAAATTTTACCACTATCACTATCTCTCAAATTCATCCAATTTCTGTTAAAATACAATCAAAGCAATTATAATATAGTAAATTTACAATTTGAAGCCCTTTAAAATTTTATCTGACAATGGCATTCCTTGAATTTGGTCAGATTAATAATTATTTGACGGCAGTGTCACTTATGTGTTTATTGGATAATGATGCGAAATCAGAATAGGGTTTATATGCACGTTTTTATTAAGTTTAGAGATTTGGAGTAATTTTATTGTTATATTTGATGGTTGTGGATGATTTGAACATCAATTTTATTTGTTACATGTTAGTAACTATATATTCTTTTTAACGATATATTCGTTTTGTATTAATATACTTTTTCATTTTAGATAATGAAGGTTTAAGGCGATCGTTTGATATATTATAATTTGTAAATTGGATAACGTTATTTTATATGATATACATTTTTACATGATTGATTTACCTTGAATATAAAAAGTGTTATTGTATTATAAAATTCATCAGCTAACATTTTATAATAAAAAAATTTGTTTGAAATAAAATACTTATTCCCTTCAACAAAGCAATTCTCTAAAGACCGACATCTAATATTCTATTATTTATTGACAAGACTTTTCCCCTCTTGTCAACATTTCATATCATTATTTATATATATCCAAAATTATAAATTTTATCGTATTATAATATCCCCCCTCTCCCCAGTAATGTAGACACTACTGAAAGATCTTGAAATGTGTTAGTGGTTGGTTTAGGACCATGCATCAAAGATAAGGGTTAGTGTCTATCAGACGCATACTCAGTAGTTCGCTATGGGGAGGAGGGGGGGGGGGGGTAATCAATTATTTCCGAATTAATCTACAAGTTATTTAAGAATATCTTAACTTTATGAAACTTATTAGAACTAGTAATTATAAAATATTTGAAATTTTGCCCTTCCACTCTTGTTTGAACCTTCATCATAACTTTGACCAACTTAGTGGTAGATTCATTAAACTTAGTTGCATATAATATTTCTGTCATTTTGTAAAGGAAATTTATGGATGTTTTCTAATATATTTAACCTTCCTTTTTTTGAAAAAATACTATATTATTTTATTGTTTTCTTTGACTAAATAAATGGTAAAGGAATTATATATATGCAAAGTTAGGATTTTTATAATACCGGTGATTATTGTGATGAAAAACCTTAAAGATAAGTGTAAAATAATGATAATCGCTAGAAAACGAATAATATTTTAATGAATATTATAAAAGAGAAAATATAAGATATAAATGAAAAACTTGGAATCAGAAAAGGGAAGAGGATCTTTGAGAAAAAAAGGGATTATAAAGTGTTAAATTAAAGAATGTGAAACAATTACAAGGTGAATAATATGAAAGTTTTGAATCGATTATTGTAAAATGGTATTCAAGGTTTTAAAACTATATGTAAGTTTATTTTTAAATAACTAAAAATTATAAATCTAAATGTTAAAAAGTGTTTTTATCTATATATACAGTGAAACGATACACATGTTTAAATATACTATAAAAGGGGGTAAACAAAATAAGATTTTATTTTTAATAGAATAAAGATTGAAATTAAATATGGACAAGCAATTAATTAAGAAGATTAATAGTTGATTAATCATTATAAAAAAAATGTGTAATTTATGATGAAAAATGAATTTTTTTTTTATTTTCTTTGAGAATGCTCAAGTAAGATATTTGATTAAATTTCATTTAAAATTCTAAATCATTTTTTGTAAAAAGTCTTTTTAATATTTTAGAATTTCTTAAATGTAATCTATTTTGTATATCCATTTATTTCGATAAAAATATGATAACACTATAAACTTTTATAATAATTTCGATAAAATAATTAATACATAAAAAATATAATTATAATTTATCAAAATATTCTATTGTTCCACGAATTTGATGTTGGTACCTTTTTAGAAATTAAAAGAGTTAATATTATAATTATTAATACAAATCGATTATAAAGATTACCTAATTAATCAGTTGCCCGCGATAACCCAACTCCAAATAGCTTTGCATGTGATTGTAAAAGTTAGTGAAATCATAAGGAATAAATCCGTGTAAGAGTTGAATAATATTCCTAACAATTTCATCTCTTGAATTAGGGCGGGGATTGATTGCTCTAAATTTATTTTTCAAAACTCCAAAAAAATTTTCAATGGGATTTAACTGAGGTGAATAAGGTGGTAGGTATTCAATCCTACCTTTATAAGAATCGATAAGATGGCTTCTATGGATAGATGCATTATCCATTACAATGATTGCATCTGGTGGTAGGATACTAATAAGCTCCGTCATAGAATCACGGAATAATAGCCCATTATAAGCTCCGTCTATTATTTTATAATGAATTACCCCTCCAATTCCGATTGTACAAAGGATACTTACATTTTTGCCCTTAGAGGATGGGATTTTTATTATTGGACGGACATTGTATGGCGCCCAGGCGTAGATTGGTACAACATGCAAGTTTATTCCAGTCTCATCTAAGAAATATAAATTTTCTCTTGGGATATTTAAGATCTTTGCACAATAAATTTGACGAATATTAATAGCCCCGGGAGTATTTCTTCTATCAGGCTCCTTGCCAGCCCTTTTTTTAGACCAACCAATATTTTTAATATATTTACTAATTGTGGTTTTTGTTTTTGGACTACCAGGAGGTAACTTTTCTATTATCTCCTGAATAGTCAAAGTGTTATTATCCATTAATAGGCTTATGATACTTCTTTCAATAATGGAAGAATCTTTCTTTTTACTTCCTCTTTTTTGAATATTATATTCCTTTAAAGGATCTCCATTTATTTCTGGGAATGTATCCCGTCTAAATTTGTGAACAGATGCAGTAGACATTTCGACATATTTTGCTATGTCTTTTATTTTCATTTGTTGTTTTTCCGGCATTGATAACATTTTGGTAACTATATCTAATTTTTCTTTATTCCAATATTTGTGTATTCTTTTTGGTCTTTGAATTCTCGACGAAGATTGGGAGTTTTCATTTAAATTGGAAAAATTAGTATTACTATTGGATAATAAAGATTCTATATTAAACATTTTTTTTTATTATTTAAGAAAAATTAAAAATAATTAATATGTAAGTATTTTAATTTTTTATTTTGAATTAAATTTTAACACATTTTTTTTATAATGATTAATCAACTATTAATCTTCTTAATTAATTGCTTGTCCATATTTAATTTCAATCTTTATTCTATTAAAAATAAAATCTTATTTTGTTTACCCCCTTTTATAGTATATTTAAACATGTGTATCGTTTCACTGTATCATGTATAATTTGAATGAATAAGTTAACACGAAGGTTAAATAAATTACAAAAATAAGTTTAACAAAATATTAAGAATAAGCTACGCAAGGTAATAAAATATAAAATGAATTTCTTACAAAAATAAGAATACAAAAATAAATTTTCATTTTAATATTATTCAACATTCTCCCTCTTCTAAGTCGCAAAATTTCATGTAAGCTATCATTGAGAGCTTGTCATCCAAATGGTTTTTGAGATTGCATGTTGGTTTGTCCTTAGTTTTTGAGTTTCTACGTTGGTTTGTTAAATCATTTTTTGATATCCTCATCGTAAACTGTTTTCATCGATCTTAATTTCGTCATATAAGCTTGCTTGTATTACTCGGTTGTTATTATTATCAATTTGCAAAATTGTTATCATCATCAATAAGTCGTAAATAATTAGGAATAATAATTGGTCAGATTGGATATTAGAATAAATGAATTATCGGATATGGAATTCGAAATAATATATGGAATATGAATCAAATTGAATTAATAGAATAATCGAATATTGGAATGATAAATCAATAAGATTATTATATAACGTTATTAACGTTTAATTTATTTTTCGCGGTTTAGTGTTAAATCATTTTTATATATATATTTTTTTTATATATTAAGTTACATCTATATTATAGTTTTCCGATGCCCTCACTACGTCATCGTGACGTCATGTTATCGCTACGTCATGTCATCGCTACGTCATGTCATCGGTACGTATTTATTTTTATTTTTTTTATTTGTTGATTTTATTTATTTATTTTATACAAACAGATGATCCTACTAACAGTCTTAATTTATTTTTAAATAGATTATATTTTTTATTATTAGCGACTTTTAGAGATTTAGAACGGGAACCATATTTGTTAATAACATTTAATAACATTTGATTTTGCAAAAATGGATAGATATTTATAAATAATACTGCTTGGACGATGGTTCAACAAGTTAATCATTTTCCTTGAATTCCTGAAATCGGAGTGCCAGTTATTTAAAAAAATTCTCTAAATAAGGGCACTATAGGATTTTCATGTGAAACAGGCTGAAGGCTATGGATCATACAAGTATATTGTAAAACTTAAAATGGGAATATCTTTTAAAATAATGATATTAACTTAATATACAAATGATTACCCAACAAACCTTAGATCTCCCTCCCTTGTATTATACATATTTTGGTACCCAACAAAATCTTAAATCTCCCTCCCTTGTATTATACATATTTTGGTAAGTCTACTTATACTATAATTTAGCCACTATTTATTGGGATTGGTAGGTTTACTTTTACGTTAATAGCCTTTGCACAGGCAACTACTTCCTATAACTTTACTTATTATATTTAAACTGCTGTATCACCCATAGAAGACCATAATCTGTCGTATTACCCATAGAAGAGAATACCAAAGTTTCCTTTTCACTGATTTCATAAGTTAAATATTAGAAGAAGTAAGATTATTGAATTAAATTCTTTTTAAAAAAAAGAAAAGATATATACTCTTTTAACACTTACATATCACTTACACTTTTCACTCCATACTCTTCATTATAATATCACAAAACCTTTCAGGCAACTAATCCTTATAATTGCCTTATTCACTTATATCTGTTTGTTTTCTGTAGTTTAATTATTTAAATAAGAATATTAAATTAAGTTAATTATACTAAAAAAGAATAAGAATCTTTAATTAGGTTAAAGCGTTGTGTAAAATCAAGAAAGTGTTAATTAAAAAATGGGAAATTTGAATGCAGGTTGATCTTATGTGATTCAAAAACATTATGACCAATGTAAACTGGGTTACTCTTTAACACTTACTTTCACTAAGTATCACTAAATATCACAAAATTTCAAGCATCTACTTCATATAAATTGCTTATTCAATCTGAAGATTTTAAATATTTGAATAAGTCTATTAAATTATGTTAAATTAAACTGAATATTTGGTTCAAAAAACTTATGACCAATGTAAACTGAGTTACTCTGTAACACTTA